GGCAGTAACAGCTTTCAGCAGCTACTTCAAAGACCTGTCTCCACTTTTTTTCTTTGCATTGTAGCTGAGCGCATATACGTGCCCACAGTTTGAGTGTAGATCAACCCTCAGTCATGGCCTCGATGCTGCAGGGAGACTAGAGTGATGGAAGCAATACTTAAGCCATTAAGACAAACAATTGGCTCAAATTGAGAGGGAGAGATAGAAAAAAGGGGAACAAGAGGGATAGAGGGAGGCAGATGGAGAGGCCGTGGCAGGAGTGGATCCACTCAACAACTTAATCCGAGCCCGAGGACACTTTCCTGTTGAGTTTCACACATTTCTACAAATGTCTTCACGCACACAACGAAGCTCACAGTGCCTCCGATATCACCTTGTCAATGTTGTCCATAGGGGTGTTCATTCCTTCGTTGTCTGAAGAGTCACCTACTCCCAACCACCTTGGATAACTATAGAACATGCCATGTACACAAGTCAAGCTCTGTGAGCATTTGTACGCCTTACGGCATCCAGTGTGGGATCTGTTCATTGTCTTAGCAGGCAGGGTGAATGGCCAACTGTGTCCCGGACATAGAAGGCCCTCCTCTGACTCTGGCTATTGTATCGTCTACCCCCGTGAACTTGCTCAGGCTCCACAAGCCTCACACAAATGCCAAACAATAAGGGGTTTGTCCTTTTTTCCACACACATATCAGCTGGGTGTACATGTCAGAAAGCGAAGGAATGATGTGCAGCAGTCTGAACCCAGCGACCGCTGTGGCTTGTCCAGTTCAGCCGTCTTTGACGTTTAGGTGTCTAGTCATCATCCTGTAATAGGGGGAAGCAACAAATTGCTAACACCACTGCCCTTCCCTCCCTGCCTCCCTAATTTCCTTTTCTCCCTTTCAGCCACAACCCTCTGGACTACCTCAGCGCCAAGGCCCTAGCGATTTATCGGACAGCTTAGCGAGGAGCTGTTATTGCCCTGAGGACTGTTAGTACGGTTTGGCTCGTTGACTCCTTCCTCAGTTCTGGCGTTTTTATTTGACATGTCCTTTAAGTCCTTTAAAGAATTGGGCGTTTCTGCTGAGCGCCTTGGCTCTTTTTGCAAAAGATGGATGGCTCGCGTTCAAAGGTCTGGATGTTTTTTTTTTTTTCCCTTCCCTCCCAGTCTTTCTCTACATCTGTCTCTGCACCCACCCACCCCTGCTTTTTCCCTTCACTCTTACTCCTTTTCACTTGCTGAGCTTTATAATGTGGTATTAGTGCTGTCAGCTAACCAAGCCTGGGATTTGTCTTTCTTTTTTTTTTTTTTTTTGCTTCTTAAGATAATGCAATGTCTCCCGAATGCTGAGAATAGCAAAAAAAAAAGGTAAAGCAGCATTGCCATTGATTTTGGTTTAATCGAAATGCATCTTACAGACCACTTGCTTTGCTGGCAGAGGTGTTTGTGTGTGTTTGCAGCCATTTGATTGTCCTTCAAACATAGTCATGTTTTGCCTTGCTCATGTCCATCAGGCCTTACTGCTGAAATTCTTTATTCATCTTAACTCGACCAAAGAAAGGCGACCATCGGGTTAGCATTACAAACGTACAGTCCAGCAAGTGTGTTTTGTGAAGATACAAGGACCAAAGCACTTCACTTCTATTTTATATTCATTCCGGATGTTGAAATAAAACCAGCCTGATCGGCATGTAAGCATCTGCGTCCGGTTAAATGGAGGTTCACTGCACTGGTTCTACAACCTAATCCCTCACACAAAAAAACGCCACATTAACATGCAGCATGCAGTTCATCCAGCATCCTTTCATGAACACAAACATTTACCCGTGCAGCACCTTGGCTAGCAGCTGCACATACATTCAGAATGGATTTCCACTTCTGTATCTTGTGTGGAAGAATAAGATTTGAGTGCAACTCAGGACCTTCAGTGTGGAGTTACTGACGCTCTGAAGAGCCATCGCCACATCTCTATCAAAAATCCACATTTAGCATCAAAGTGAAATGTCAGCTTGCTGATGTGTCAGGTCAGTGTATGTATAGAAATCACTAGCTTTGGGGATATCCGACTGTAAAAGTGGAATTGAAAGCTATAGCTCCTGGCAGTTAGGAGCTGCTAGAAATGTTATCAGTGTGACTTTCTGAGTCTGTGAGGAGGTTTTAGAGGCTTTTACATCTGGGGTGATGTTGCTTCCATGGCCCTAATTTGAGATATTTTCTCATGTTTCTACATACATGATCTCTGTCGACTTTTCACTTTTGTGGTTATTGAATGTTCCAATTATTTGATAGAGTCCTGAACGTGTTCTTTTATGAATACAGAAAAAAAATCATTTAAAATACCTTTTCTTTT